TTGCACAAACAGAGCACGTATGTATGTCATATTTCACTGCTGGTCTTGTTGCAGTGTATCATGTATAATTGGTGTCTGCCCCATCTCATATTCCTTGTCTAGCACTGTATGTTAATTCATGTTTGTGGATTTGTTTCCAATTCCCTTTCTTTAGCTTACTTTCATTATTCTCAAGAATGTTTAAAGTTCTTATTCCTAACCCCTTAGCCAGGTACCTGTTAGGATGCTTTGTTCTAAACAGCCTGGAGGGAATTATTAAAATATGGACTTTGTTTAAGGGGACAGATGTTTTGAAGTTAGCACCACTTGTTTTATGCTTATAGATATTTTCAGATGACCCTAAGAGAACCACTAAGGGATTTAAAAGAATGTGCACCATGCTTAATCCTTAGTCTCCTGGAAGTAGGAATCACTAAGCAACTTCTGAAGGTGATTTTCTATCAATTTTTAGTTATGTAGGATGATGTAGATTTTCTACTTAATGTTTGTATAAAGCCAGTTTTATGCTACTATAGTGAGTGAAGTCTGTCCTTCCAGCATCCTCTATACATCTTAAAGCTGGAGATGTGAACTCCTCTATCATGATTTTAAAAGCGAGAGCACAGTAACAGTATGCAGAAATTGTTTAATTTGTGTCCCGAATACAGATATCTTGTATATTACTAATAGTAACCCCTCTTTAAATTTACATAATACTTTATAGTTTTACAAAGTACTTACACCTCCCTAATGTAATTGGATCTTCATAGGGCAATGCTAAAACTAGAAATGCTCTTTTCACGTGCCCTATGCCTCGTCTTTGCCTCCCAGGCGAAGCTACAAGATTACGGCAGCCTGTGGCTCTGTGTTCGCCTTCTGTCTGCCCTCGTGAGGCCTCAGTTCTGCCAGATCCACCTACCAGGCGTTAACCAGGCATGGGATTGGTGTATGTTACGTGAGCATCAACCAGCTTTGCTCGGAGTCCTGACGTTGTCCGGCTTCCTATAGTCTGTTTAGTTCCATTAGTCCAGGGGAAATCTGGAAATAAGGTCTTTCATCATGTGTTGGTTTTTAATGCTGTTGTATTTGTAAGTGTAAAATATGTACGCTGTGCAGCTTCATGGAATATCTCTAAGGAAGGGACTCAGTCTTGGATCACCCTTTTGTCTTCTAGGAATAACGGCCTTATATTCTGGACTGAAACCTACTATGATTCGAGCGTTCCCCGCCAATGGGGCACTATTTTTGGCCTATGAATACAGCAGGAAGTTGATGATGAGACAGCTTGAAGCAGACTGAAGTATTCTAGCGAACCTGGATCCAAGTACAAGTGTTTGAGGACTATAACTCATCTCAGGGTTTCATGGAGTACAAGCCCAGTGTGGAATTATTTTAATTTCAGAGTATTTTGTTGTCTTCCATTCTTCTACCCTAAATCTTAAACTTCATGGAAGGACCTCAAATTTTACATAATCTGACTTCTGCCCATAATTGTACTGAAGTAGAAAAGCCGCTGCTGTTGTCCTTGGTAGTACATACCGGGTGAGCCTCTGGCCTCCAGACCTAATCTGACAATCTAAATATAATCAGGGATTTTGCATAAATTTGTATTGTACATGCAGTTTGGATGGTTGTGTGTTGTGAATGAAGCATAATTTTGTTCTGTGTTTAATCAGATCACACCAGAAAAACCCAGAGGTAACCATGTTTCATGAAGATGGTTATGATTACTTAACCCATTCTAGATATAGGGTCTCTTAAAATCTGCTTAACACATGCACTATACCAAGTGGCTCAAGTTTTTAAAAAGGTTTCCTGTGGTGCTTGGAAACCAATACTAGTATATCCATGGATCTTAAAGAAAAGAATTTAACTGTAAACTGATATGGTTTCCATGTTTCTGATTTAACTTTCAGAGTAGGCATCCTGGATTTTTCCAAGCTGCTCTACTGATAAAATAGTGCCATTCATTTTTTTGGTGGGATCATATACTCTCTGAAATATTGTTGGGTGTGGCCTAGAGTATCAAGCCTTTGGAAAGCTGCTTGGCCTTCACTGTGCCAACTCCATTCTTCTCTCAGGAAGAGCTTCCCTCTGCTGGGCTTTATGTTGCGGAAGGGCCTGAGGGGAGGGGGCTGTGCTGCTGTCTTTATGAAGACCTTGTGGCCCACAACAGCCCTTAGCTTTGGTCTCTGGGTCCTGGCCTGGGTAGGATTCCAGAGTATTCTTTGGACCACTTTGGACCATTCACTCATTGCCTCCACCAATTGGAAACCCTTCCTGGGAGTAGAGTGCCAAAGCCAAGAGAAGTCCTTGTTCCCTGTCTGGTGACTGCCAGTGCTCCTGGATGGAGTCCTTTCAGAACTAGACCAAACGTAGTGTGTGCACTCCGCAGTGAGTAACGTCAGGGCTGACCCAGTCTCAAGTTTTTCTTGGGGTCCATAACTCCATCATGCTTTGATAGTGTTGGAACCCCTTCTATCTGGTACTGGCAGTCGTTGAGTTTTAATGATGACTGTATGTGGGGTGTGACTTTATAAAGCAATGAAAAAAAGTAATTTTTATTAAGCTATGCCACATGTATGCAGTAATAGCAACAAAACACATTCCTCTGATTCCCACAGACTTGGAGATGGCAGCTGTTCTTTGGCCATCTGAGTGGCATTTCATCTGAACAGGCTAGAAATGAAGTACTGGCTTCCAGCAGGAAGCGAATTGCTCAGGGTCCCTGGTCCCTCTGTGTGGTGCCCGTCAGCATGTGAACACTGTTGGCAGTAGACCTCACATGTCCTCCTTTAAAGGTTTAACTAAATATCTTCAATAGAAACAGTCTGAGGCAAGGAAGAGTGAGTGGGAGCAAGGAATGGAAAAGTCAGAGGAATTGATTTTTCATTCTATTGAATTCATCATGTATAATTTGTACCATTTCAGATCCGTACTCCAGAAAAAAATATAGTCACTGTGTTTAGAGAAGTTCTAGTGTTCTATATTATTAAATTATTTGCCTAATATTTAAGTATATGAGGAGTTCCTTATATACACTGCAATTATGAAACTCGGTTCACTAGAGTTACTATCTCCCTCCACCAGGCTGTGGATGTGAGGTGTCTGATTTGGCAGGTTACCATTCTTTTTCTTTTAATAGTTAAACTTCTTTCTATTAAGTTATGGATACTATTCCAGGTAATTAAATTCTGTTTAAGAAAACCAATATCAAAAAAAGAAAGAGGCCCTGGCTGGTTTGGCTCAGTGGATAGAGCGTCGGCCCGGGTTTGATTCCGGTCAAGGGCATATGCCTGAGTTGCGGGCTTGATCCCCAGTGGAGGGTGTGCAGGAGGCAGATCAATGATCCGGTCAAGGGCATATGCCTGAGTTGCGGGCTTGATCCCCAGTGGAGGGTGTGCAGGAGGCAGCCGATCAATGATTCTCTCTCACCACTGATGTTTCTATCTCCCTCTCCCTCTCCCTTTCTCTCTGAAATCAATGAAAATGTATATTTAAAAACAACAACAACAAAGAACAAAAGAAAACCAGTATCATTCTGATATATTCTAAATAAGTTTCTTGTGTTCAAAGAGTTATTCACATTGGGTTCTAAGACAGCAACCCCCTGGGAGACCCTAAGCAAGTTCTCTTTCTAGGAGAGGAAGAAGACTTGTGTGGCAACTCATTGCCAGAAATTCTGACGGATCTTGGCAGATTAGAGAAGAAAAATCCCAACTGTATCTCCTTATTTCAAAGAGCAAGATTCTTAAAAATGGGGGTCTGCCTGTATTGAAATAGATAGATCTTACTCCTCCATGAGCCAGCTAAGCACTTCCCCCATTCAATTAAGCCTGCCCCCTGATGTGCATTCTGGAAACAATACAGCCTGTTCTGCCACAACACGTTTCTGTAGCACCAATTAACGGAATAATACAGTCATAACCTGGAAGGAACTTGAGAGGGTCCTCCAAGATCTCTTCCTTCAGGGCAGCCAGGTTAGGGAGAGTAGGGTAATAACTTTTGTCAAAAGCAAAAAGCCTTCAGTTGGCCTTCTGCACTGGCAGCTCTGACCCTTTGTGGGCTGTTTTGAAACAAGAAGAGAGCACCTGTGCTGGTGCCACTTTGGCACCCACCAGCCTTTCTGTAATAAGGTATTGCCCAGTTTCCCCTTTTAAAAAATGCCTACTGTGGCAACCTCCAGGCATTCTGCGCTGCTACCTGGGTGGTTAGTGGTTAATGTGCTGGTTGCGTTTGTTAGTTGGAGTGGTTTGCCCCAAACCTCCAAACCCCCTAAACTCCCAACCCTGTCTCCCCCGAGCAAACCATTTTAGTCTGTGTTTTTTGCAGAGTGAAAGGTTTTTCAGGAATGGGTTTAGTGTGTTTTAGCAGAGCACTGTTTCTTATTGCTAGCTGTGTTTCCCAATGAATTTAACTTGGTCTAGATTGTTGAGAGCCTTGCCAAATAAAGGAAAAATCACTCAAGTAAGGATAATTTCAACAGAGCCAAAATAGAACTGTTTTCAAGCACAATCATGGCCTTAAGGTACAGTGGCAGTGAAAGTACTTAGAATAGCACTGGGTACCAAAGAGAAAATGATTCCCTCCAGACACAGGACTAGAATGAAAAGGCGACCTTCCCTCAGAGTTCCCCGAGCTGCTTTATCCGTCATGTTGACAAGATTCTCCTAGTCTCCCCACGTCTGCGTGTGACTAAAGGAGCCTCGTCGTGCTCTGAGGTGCTTGGAGAGCAAGAGAAAAGCGTGTGTTTGGGGTGAGGGGCTGCTGTGTAAACACGTCTCTGGGTTTAAAAGTCTCTGCTGTCAATCTGGTATTTGTTAGTTTGTAAATCAAATGGAGAAAGAAACTAGAAATTACCTTCTAATCTGAAATTACAAATGTGAAACAAAGGGAATAAATACTTGTCCAAAAATATGTAAATAAGTGAAACAAACCCACGGTATTAGGGGGAATCACAATTTTTAAATATTCCAATTATTTTGATATAAAAGTTTTCTTTAAAGTTTTTAAAAGTGATAACTAATGTTCCTGTGTATTGTGTTCCAAATTTATCTCAAAACTTTGTGTGAAGTATATTCCTTCAAAAAGGAAAAAAAATTGCCATTGACATTTTCTCTTGTATATATTTAATATATGTTGAATAGTATTCTCAAGAACATATGTACACATATGTAAATATAAGTATACCAGCAAGGAAGAGGGTTTTGAAGATATAAATACATAGCAGGGATTGGGAAGAATATGATTCTATTCTAGAAGGGGAACTACACTTAATCAGATACCAGGCACAACTTAACATCATCAAAATAAATTTCAACTGCAAACTCTGGACGATAAATTTTCCATGCTTTTGGTTTATGGGGATTATCCAATTCATTTCTTGAAAGATAAAGCCTAGAATAGAAAAAACACATATTTTAGGGCTTATAGAAAAGCCATTTAAGGCACCCTTTTTAAGGCTTTAAAAAAAGATTTGCTGGCCAAGATTAGTCTCTGCCCACTTTTCTCTTAGTTTTTTATGAGCCAATGCTCCCACTTTCTCTACTGAGATGCAAAATATCTTAATATTCACTAACAAACACATAGTAACAATATGTCACTGATTCTTTTAACATTGCCTTTTATGGAATGAATAAAAGACATCTGGGTTTAATAAAATAAATGTTTATGTGACAGAAATCAGCCAGAGAAGAATAGGTGTGTATTAAAACCAGGAATAAAATACTGAGTGTCTTTTCAATGATTAAGTTGGCATTTTAGCTGATAACAATCTCATAACTAATTAAAACAGCTTTACCAAGTAGTATGGACACTTCAATGTTGAAGAAATCTTTAGAAACATGTAAAAGTGAGGAGGAAAGTGATCTGACTGTGGTTGTCTCTCTAATATGAACATGGTCTTTTAAAGGGAAAAAAAAAAGTGCCCTTATTTAGCAATTACCACTTCGTAGGCATCCCACCTAATGAAGTTCCACCCAGATATCTATTTGAGAGATTTTGCCTCTGTTGTGAGTTAAAGTTTATTATTTGTATACATCCAGGGAAGGAAACTGGTTACAAAATTTTCAATCTAAAATTCACTCTATCCAAATCCATTAAATGTGTGTACATTATAAGTATGTATATTAGATGCTCAATTTCCTGTTGCCTTACTGGACTCAAGTGTGAGTAGATACAGTTCATATTTGAAGAATAGGCTAGGTTTATGTAATGAGAACTATCAATTCATGCCAAATACAATCACAACTGCTTCAAAACTCATCTGCATGAGTTTTTGAACATTTTTTCTTTTGTGTTGGGTGGTATTGTGATAGCAATAATCTTAAATTTGTTTCAGCACCATGAAACAAATATTTAAAGTGGAGAATTTCTAGACTCAGGAATGAGTTTCCAGAAGTTTCTTTGGAATAATAATCTTCAAATCAATTAATATTTACCTTTTTAAAAGTGGTTCCCAATTTAGTTATTAGAAATCACGTTTAAATGTGAGACTATTAATGATTTTTAAAAAATTATAAGGTAAAATTTATTTAGAAAGTTACAGAAATAGTAGAAGGGCCCTTGGAGCTTAGAAGGAAAAGGGAGAAGATACTCGCTTTGAGGGACAAAAAAGGGAGAAGAGGCTAGGTTGTGTTCTGGAAAAGAGAGAGAGCACACACTATGAATGATTTTTTTTAGCTGTCTTCACAGATACTATGTCTTATGACTTCTGTCCTAGATTTTTCCCCACCCCCACCCCCCGCCGCCGCCAGGTGACACCTTACTTTTGCACAGAATTTGGTGGTGGTCAGTCATCAATAAATGAACATATACCGAGGATCTGTCCTATTTAAGGTACTGAGCAAACTCAAACTGCTGGATTTATTACCACATTCAAGATCTGATTATAACATGTTTTAACTTATAACACAGTCCTATGGCATGTCCTTGAGGATAATGCAAATCTCAAGAATAGCCATATTTTTATAATAACCAGATTAAATGAGTATGTGAATGAAGAATGGTGACTTGAGGATTTTTTGGTTTCTGTAAACCAAGTTTATGGCAATCAGCAAAAGACTTGCTATTACACCGTACACAAACATTGAAGATAAGGCTATTTCTACTGGGTTATATAATAAACCATACCTGTTATTTTCTATAAAGGATGTGTGGAACCAAAAGTAAAAGGGGCAGTTGTCATAGTATTTAGGAAGATCCTAAAAATACATGGATTTAAAAAAGAAGGTTATTCTTCATAATAAAAGTGATACCAAAAACTAATCACCCAACAGGGATTACAATTCCTTCCTTTATTCATTTATATATTTATCAAACAATCGCAGCCATTAAATGTGCAGCGATTACAGTCTACTACATGACACCGAGGACACAAGGGAGGAGGCTTTCAGGGATCGCTGTTTCTATCAAAATTTTCAAGGAAATGTATCTTTTCTTTTTTTAAATGTTTTTATTGATTTCAGAGAGGAAGGAAGAGGGAGAGATAGAAACATCAATGATGAGAGAATCATTGAACGGCTACCTCCTGCACATCCTCCACTGGAGACTGAACCCGAAACCTGGGAATTGAACCATGACCTTCTGGTTCATAGGTTGGCACTCAACCACTGAGCCACACAGGCCAGGCATGTATCTTTTCTGTGATGGACATTTATGCATTTTATCTGGTTTAGATAGTGCTAAGCAGAATCTATTAAGGACCTGTGCTTATTTATGCACAAATATATCATCCATTCCTACAAGGAGCCGCTATTATATAATTAACTATCATTATTAATGATGATAGAAATACCTAAATTTTTTGAAAGTGCTTTTACTTCATGGCCCTTGAAAATCATAAAGGCCAGATAGTATTAGCATCCTCTGGGCCAGTGCTCTTCACCAGTCTTCCAGCTTAGAGGTCAATGATTGAGAGAGAATTCAGACTGGCTCCATTATTCAAGGGGTAACCATCCAATATGGGAACTATCCAGGTCACTTGCTTTAACACATTTACCATTTCAATACTTACTAGTAGTAGATTCTCCCCTAACAGGGAGAAAGCAGGGGCTAAAGGAGGACACAGGAAATATGTTTTAAATCAAAGGACACAACCCTGGCTGGTGTGGCGAGTGGTTAGAGTATCTGCCAGAGCACTGAAGGGTTGCAGGTTTGATTCCCAATCAAGGGCATGTACCTGGGTTGCAGGTTCAATTCCCATTCCCAGTTGGGGTGTATGTTGGAGGCAACTATGTGTCTCTCTCACATTGACATTTCTCCCTCCCATCCTCCCTCCCTCCCTCCCTTCTTCCCTCCCTCCCTCTGTCCTACTTCCCTTCCACTCTCTCTAAAAGAAAAAAAAAATCAATGGAAAAAATATCCTCAGCTGAGGATTAACCAAAAAAACTTGTTAATTGATGGACATAGTTTCTTATTGGAAGCTTTGGTTGGTTTTACAGGAAAATTAATTGAAACTATTGAGATTAGAAATGTGTTATATACAGAGTAATGCCCAGACATACATTTTATGACTGGTCAATATAAATTATACACTCATGGTACAGTAATGACAGCAGAATTCTTATTTTTCATAAAGTAAATATTGGATTTTTTATAAAGTAAACATTGCATTAAAATACTACTTATAATGTATTATATAACAATTCAGAAGAAAGTAAAATCTTCACTTTCAAGTATTTAAAAAATTATGGGGAGCAATGTGTTTTAAATGTATAAAATATAAAACAATAATTTGACTATTCTATGCAGTAAAACATATCTTTGTCTTTTTTTACATCTTAGTTTTTGTGTTACTTATGTGAAAATTAATACATACATATTGTATAGAAATTAGAAAAGCAAATGAGCAAAATTTTAAAATTACATATGTTCTTTAAAAAAAGTGTTATGGATCTGACTTGTTTTTTTCTTCCTCCCTGGTTAGGAGTTGACATCTATCATCTCCCTTGTTGAGATATGTAGCAATGGAAATCTCAAGCCAGAATTATTCAAAAAACCAAACAAGAATAACAGCATAGGTTGTTTCTTGATTACTCACTGAAGAAGACAGAAATTGCACTTTTACATCATCATACAGAAGTGGACAGTTGCATAGATGAATTGTTACTCTGTCCCTTTCAATATCATGAACTACCTGTGAATGAACACATGGAATTCAAATAATGAGATAGCTGATAATGAGATAGAAAGTATAACAGGGAAGTTCATGTTTACTTATTGAGGCTTTCTATATTTACCAAGTACTCTTGGTCTCATAGCCCTATCACTACATGTATAAATAAATGTTAATCATTGTTTCTATAAAGTTGCAATACTTGTTTACCTTTTTAAAAAGCCAATATGTTTGAGGGTTATGGTGGGGCACTGTTGAAAAGCAAAGTATTCAATTTTCTATTACTGTTTCACCAAGTAAACATTAATATTGACTGTGCGTCACCTGATTTTCATATGTTGGGAATACACTAAGAAGCTCAATTTTAAAGCTGGCATTCACATTCAAAAAGCAAAGAATAACTGTCATGCTTTGTTAAAAATGTTATTTGCCGATGGGATCATGGGCCTTGTCCATAGCAGACTGCTAGATGAAGTTACCAAAGATAGGCCAAGTCTCTGGAATGAACAACTTTGAAGCTATAGTAAGTATTTCTTTGTTATTGATTCACCCTTGTGTAATAGTGCCACCCACAATGAGAAAGGTCTATGCTAGGCTTTAGAAAAATACAAAAGAAGGTGCAGACTCAGTTGAAAATTCAGGGAGCTATACACATAAGGAATGATAGTAGAATGGCATATAATTATGTGTTGAGCTGTATGATGAAGACTGAGTGTGCTGTTGCATGCTTGGGGAGGTTAACAGGAGGTATAGGATAAGAAAGCTTCTTTGAAGAGGCAGAACTTGAGTTGGGAATGGAAGGATTTGCATAAATGTAGAGGAGATATGAAAAGAGAACCCAGTAGGGATGGGGGTTGGTGGGGGAAGGGGAAGGAGGAGAAAAGACCTGCAGAAACATGAAATAGAAATTAGAGTTGTGTTCCAAGGACCAGAAGGGTCCCAGGCTACTTGAAAGGGAATCTGCAGGCCAAATTACTAATGGAAATGATCTCAAATATCATAGGGTTGTATCTTGAGAGTTCAAGAGCCAGGAAAATAAGAAAGAAGTTATTAAAGAGTATGTGGGGCAATTCCTATGTGACACAGTGGCCTGATCATTATTACACACTAGAGGCCTGGTGCACAAAATTCATGCATGCGGGAGGCGGGGGGTGTCCCTCAACCTGACCTGCACTCTCTCCAATCTGGGACCCCTTGGGGGATGTCCGACTGCCAGTTTAGGCCCAATTCCGCAGGGACATCCCTCTCACAATCGGGGACTGCTGGCTCCTAACCGCTCGCCTGCCTGCCTGCCCGATCACCCCTAACCGCTCCCCTGCCTACCTGATTGATGCCTAACTGCTCCCCTGTCGGCCTGATCGCCCCCAACTTCCCTCCCCTGCTGGCCTGTTCACCCCCAACTGCCCTCCCCTGCTGGCCTGATCACCCACAACTGCCCTCTCCTGCCGGCCACCTTGTGGCGGCCATCTTGTGATGACGTCACATGAAGGCATCGTGCAACTCCACCTAGGCTTTTATTATGTAGGATAACATTTACTTAGTAATTTATAGTTTATAAAGGAGTTTCACATATATTAACCAATTCAATCCTCACAATACTTGAAACGTAATCTTTATTTTACAGATAAGAATATTGAGATATTAACTGTCTTTGACTATTGGCACACAGTGTGTCTTCTGCTCTACCTACAACTTTTCACAATGAGAGCAGTATTTCAGGATGCATATTGTAGGACTCTATATATGCACTGTATAAGGAGGGGAAAAAAAGGTAAAGGGATGACTATAGAAATCTAGGCATGAGCAAATGAGGTCCTGGACTAGGTAGTGGCAATAGGAACAGAAAGAAAAAGAGATTTCAAAGGTATAATCAGCAGGATTTAGGGGGCCAAGAGAAAGAGAGGATCAAAGATAATACCAAATTTGAAGGCCTGAGTGAGAGAATGCTAGTGCCATTTTCAGAAGCAGAAGAAAAACTCATTTGATAAATATATTTTTTCGTTTTTATTGAATTTATTGGGATGACACTGGTTAAAAAATTATATAAGTTCCAGGTGCACAACTCTGCAACACATTATCATACACTATTGTGTGTTCACCACCCCAAGTCAAGTCTTTGTCCATCACCATTTATCCTCCCTATAATCTCCTCCACCTGCCCCCCACTTTTCCTCCCCCAGGCAATCACCACACTGTTGTCTGTGTCCATGAGTTTTTCTCTCTCTTTTTTCCTTTTTTTCTCAATCCCACCACCCCTCCCCCTGACAGGGGTCAGCCTGCTCTCTATCCATGAGTGTGTCTCTACTTTGCTTATTAGTTCAGTTTGTTCATTAGATTCCACATACGAGTGAAATCATATGGTACTTGTCTTTTTCTCATTGGCTTATTCCACTTAGCATAATAATCTCTAGGATCATCCATGCTGTCCCCAAAAGATAAGAATTCCTTCTTTTTTACCGCCAAGTAGCATTTCATTGTTTAAATGTACCACAGCTGAGAAACCAAGATGGCGACATAGGTAAACACGGAAAATTGCTGCCTCGCACAACCACTTCAAAAATACAACTAAAAGACAAAATGGACATCATCCAGAACCACAGGAAGGCTGGCTGAGTGGAAATTCTACAACTAGAAGGAAAGAGAAAAGCACACTGAAACTCAGAGGAGGTGCAGAAGTAAAGTGCAGA